GACCCAAGAGTCTGTCAGATTGCAGTTTCATAGTGCACAGTATGAATTATAGAAAGGTGCTGCTCATACATACATTTATGTGAAAAGTATCACTACACAGACCTAGGAAAATACAAGTAATTGGATTTGTGGCTCTCTAATTGTGGCAGCTTGTTAAGGCAGGGATAGGACTTATCCAATGTGAACTATGAGAAAGTCTGATTTGAAAAAGCCCCATATGCTCTTGGGTGCAGGGGCAGAGTTGGAGCAGAGCTCAGGGTGAGAGAAGGAGGGAAGGGTACAAGTGAAATGGGAAAGAAATTTTGGAAGAAGAGTAAAGAATGCAGAAGTACATCTAGGAAGGGGAAAAAGAGGAGAGACTTGTTGCAGCTAGTGAAAGGCCAGAGATACAGAGTGCAGATTGCAGCATGCTTTCTGCTGAAATAGAAAAACCTGCAGTTTCTTCTGAGAGAAGTAAAATTAGCTCAGATGGAGAAACTGAGATGTTAATCTAGGCTGGTGGCAGAAGGAGATGAAGCAAGAGAGAATTAATGTTTGTGGGGAATCCCTTTACAAGACCATTTCTCTTAACATGTGCAATAGACTTGTAGCACTGGTTGGAAAAGAGAAAAAAGAAGAATCTGGAAAGAAAATATGAATAATTGAATAATCTTTGAAAGAGAAGAAGACCTACTAATGCTATGTTCATTTTACAGACTTTTAAGCTGTTGAAATGTTCACCTAAGTATGGTATTCAAATGCCGTTTTCCTGTGATATGTGCCTTACTGACAGAATTAGTTACCTTCTCTCATTTTATCAACTTCGTGTTTATTTACAAATAAGTGAACTAAATAAGCTACCTGGGGTATTTTTGTGTTTATCCAACTGTTGAGACTATACATTCGAATTCTTCAATACATCTTTGAGCAAAATATGTCCTGACTGTTAATTCTGAAATACAATTTGTGAAATGTCTGACATCTGAAGCTCGTGGGGGAGAGGAGGGAAGTTGCTTGCAGATCGCCATGTGCTTCAGTGCTTCCACTTGGGGAATGCATGGCCATAACTGTGGGAGTCATGAAATCGTTAATTAAAAATCCTAGCTGTATTGCATCTTTTTAAAAAAAGATAAAATGGACAATCTTTTCTTCTTCTAAAGCTATGCACATGGAGATTTTTAGACAGAGTAAGTGGCCCTGATTTCTAGTTAATTACCTCAATAAATCAGGAGTGGGTTGCTGGTATTTGAAAGTTCTGTGCATGGTAGACAGAGTGAGGGATGGAGCAGTTTTCTGCAGTGGTCTGTTGCTGGTCAGTAATGGTATATAATGCACTCAGGTCAAAAGGATGGTACTGATACTCACAATGCCACCATGGCTATAACGTCAGAAGTTTACTGCTAAAACCCAAAATATTACAATAAAACTGTTAATGCTGCAACATAGAAAGTGTTTCTGTTACTGCTACCGAAATTGCGGCACCACTCAGTTTTTCCTATGATGTGATCTTTGTTTGCATGAATGCATATGTGTGTGCATATAGAAAAACTTATGCTTATATACACATTACCTATACTGATATGCATAATATGATTGATATACACACACACATGCATCCTGAGTGAATAGAATTTGCTTCTCGAAAATGGCTAATATTTCCTGAAAGGGGAGATGGAGAGAGAGGTGATTTTACTGGTACTAGTTGATCTCACAACTGAGGATCAATTTTGCAGTGAACAATGCAGACATGCACTGTAGAAAGGCTGTTCCTGTCTCTGCCTAAGACAGGAGACAGCAGATGGGTGTGGGAAGGCAGTAGAGCACAGTGGGGAAACTGGACCAGACTCACCAAGAGCCTTGCTCCTTCTCTGTGCCAGTGCAGTGTGTGTGTGTGGTTCACAGTGGTGACCACAGTGGTGGTCAGGATTCAAGAAGGTGTTTGACCAAGGGTGAGCTGGAAGTAAAAGCTTCCAATACCTGGACAATGCCTGGACTAAGAACATATTGCAAGAGATGACAGCAGAGGCTCCCCAGGTCTGAACAGGAGCTTGGTTTGGGAAGAAAGTTAACAGTGGGTGGGAAAGGGGCTCAATGATCATGGCTGGTCCATGGAGGCATCCCAAGTGGGTGGAAGTATGCAGAGGAATCAGAGGCAGGAGAAAAACATTTTAATATGATTGGGTCAGGACAACTGACATCAAAAAATAAATATGAGAAAAGACAAGACAGAATTAGAGGAAGTCCAGTGGAGCTACCTTGATGAGCAATTCTAATCTATCTGTATCATTGATAAAGACCAATACTTCCAAAAAGCTCCTTTTCTCTCTGGTGATTATAAGGATGTTTGGTTAACCAAGATTCCAAAGTTCTGGATGGCTCAGTTACATTAAATGAAGGGTCTATTTTCATCACCCTTTTTGTTCTAATGATCATCCTGCATTATTTAACATGCAGTTTTATAGAAAACAATACTTGATTTTTGCTGTAATTATTTTTTTACTTCTAAAATTATATACTACATTCTCAAAGAAAATTCTGTTGCTGCATACAGAAGCAGCAATATTTTTCCATTTAGCATTCTCCTCTCTTTCCTTGTTACCAGGATTTTTAAAATGTGATAATGTCCCACCACTGTTTCTGAGATTTCCTGAATTTATTTGTTTACTCTTTATTACGTAAGGAATGATTTCTGCCTGTTTGAATATATTTCTGTGGGGAGTGCTGACATTCTTATCCACACTTCACTTGTCATTTCCAGGCCAGACGGTTAATATGATTTTCCTACTATGAGCTACTTACTGCGTACAGTTTTAACGTGTGTTGCAGCAAAGCAGCACATTGAAGTGCAGAAATTAATTGAGAAAGAGAGGGATGTCGGACAAAAACCATTGGGTTCTCTTCAGTAAAGTCAGATAATGTGCAGCATATATATGTTCCTAATGGAGGTAAAAGGAAATACAGGTGGATCTTGTGATCCAATCCTTCTCACATGAATATGAGGAAAAAAAGTGTTTATGTTTGTGGATAATACCTAAAGAGGAGTGTCTTTGAGCCTGCAAAGGAGGGATTAGCATTCCAAATGGTGAACTGGAAAACACAGAGGACTAATCAACAGCATCTGGATGGGAGCACGATTTTTTCTCTGGGAAAAGTCTGAGGACTGTAATGGTTCCCAAGATGGATTTTATCTACACAGTGGTGATTTTGCACAGAAAGCTGGGGTTGTCCTGGGAAATAAAGGGTGTCACCCTTGAAATGGAATAATAGGTAGTTGCGCTGCTGTGCTCAGTGCAGGACACTGTCATAGAGAAAGGTGTGGGCTAATGTTAGAAAATCAAGAAAGAATTGACACAAGTATGTAGAGGTCTAGAAAATAGTTATGAGGAAATACTGGAAGAAATTGAAGTTGTTTAACCTAAAAACTAAATGAGAACATAATAAGAACATAATAAGTACCTCTAAATACATTAAGTGTTCCTGCAGAAATCAAGGGAATAATTTATTCTCTTATCCTTTGCAGACAGAGTGAGAAGTAGTGGGCTTGAGGTAGAACATGAAGATAAAGGTTAGATATGAGGAAAAGCAGATTGCTTGGGGAGACTGGAGAGACTCTGATACTGAGTATCTTCAAGAAGGGCTAGAAAAATATAAGATACCAGTGCACAGCACCCTACCTGGGGTACTAGGTATTGAATAAGTAATCCCTTGTCATCTCTGCCTAGTCTATTTTTCTTTGATTAAAGCTGAATTAAGAAAGGAAAAGTCCTGGGCTAGACAAATAACCTCGATAATAATAGAATAGTAGAATAACTATAATAATATATATATAATATATATTACATATATATATATATTATTATAAATTATACTCTTATATAATATTATATTCTATTATAATCTTATATAATTACATATTCTATATATTATTTTATACTCTAAGGATAATAGTAGAATAGTAATAGAATAACCTTAGGCTTGATCAGGAAAAATGTTGAATAGTTGTGGCTGCTCTCACAGCCTTCTCCCAGAGAAGAAGCAAAGTGGGATTGCAAAATGAAGGCTATGAGCAATAAATTTGTATTAATTTTTAATACTGAGGAATTATTGTCACATCGGCCAGGTCATGTCTTCACCATGACTCCTATCCTGGCTGTTATGAAACTTTACATTACATTTGGTATTGTAAAATTTCTAAGAATTTTCAGCCTCTGATAAAGCCTGAGCCACAAGCTCTTTTTTCATGGGTTTCCATTTTAAAACTGTTCAGATTACTTTCCCACAATGGTATTTACTTGCCTTTTGGCTTTTTAGGCAATGTCCCAACTGGTAACTAGAAATAGAGGTAGAATTTATAGATGTGTCCTTCAACACAGTGTGCAGTGTGAAGAATTGCTATGTACAATGTCAATGTACAATTCTTTATATAATTTAGCCTTAACTGCAAAGGAATGAAATTTCTTAGAGAGTGATATTTCAGAGTTACTGAATGAGTTATTGAGTCTTGGTATTTTTTGGATATTTGGGGATTACCTAAATTAAATTACTAGAAGAGAGAGAAAAGAGGATGCTCCTCTGGTGAACAGATTAGAGTTGGAGATCTTAATAAAACCTTGAATGGTTTTAAAGGAGAAAAAATGCATTTTTATTAAAATTCCAGAAATTTTTGACATGAAAAACTTTCAACAAAAGAATTGCATTTTTCTGGGGGAAAAAAAAAATCACTATAAAAGTTCACTGGTTGGTTGATTTGCTTTTGTCAGCATTTCTCGCAGTTTATCTCATATTACCACAGAGTCTGTTTTGCTGTACTACTCTTTTTGGGAGCACAGATAAAAGTCTTCTCTCCTTGGAGTGCGCAAAAGTGTATTTGCTACTTTTTTCTGAGTCTTTGTCCTTTTCTTTTATGAGAGATTTTTATCCTAAAGAAAAAGAGATCGTGATCAGTGCTGCAGTATGAAACCTCTTTACTAGGCATGAGTATAGGCAGTAGCAATGTGAGGTTTTTTCTGTCCAGGACTTTCACTTCTTCATGGAGTCATCCATGTCTCTCTCATAATGATGCATCCATTTACCCCCCACAAACCTGAAAGCAGTGACTAGATAGGAGCAATGCCTTTACCTCCGCAGGTAGTACGTAAGCTGAGAATTCAAGGATAAAAGATTGTATATTGCTAAAACTCTCACCTGGCTTGTTCTGCAGGGAATGCTTTTTCGTACTGCATGTGTTCAACCTGGAAGATTTAGAGTTCCAGGAGATCACTGAGTCAGATAATTTGGGTGAAGATTTTATAAATGTCAAAAATTGCATTGTGGCCAAATAATTTGAAATAAAAATTTATTTTCTGTCCTCATAGATATAGAACACCCATAGGTAGGTCCAGGGGAAAATTATAACTGCTAAATTACAGAAAAAAAAAAAATAGAAAGACTCACTGGCTTCCTCCTGTCCGAAGTTTCCTGTGTTCTCTCTCTCATAATACAATAAGACATCCCAGACACCACATTTCTGGGGATTACCTTTCTTGGGGTTGAAGCCTTTGGCCTCATTCTTTTCCTCACAGTTAGACTGTCCATAAGCCCCTGGAAAGACACTGTCTGTCATGTCTTGTTGCTTAAATATTGTGATCGAGCCTGTGAATAATCTCTTAACTGCTTTGACATGTTCATAATAGCTTTTGTTCTACTCTGTACCAATCCATTTCCATTAAAGTCCCCTGACATGGTGTGTTCCAGCTTGGACATGGTACTATGATAGTTTGTCCAAAGATACTATGGAAAAATCAGACCACTGCCTTTAGCTTTTGTGAATGGCAACTATGGTTTGGAAAGTGAAAATGACCCCTCTGTGGCAAAAGACCTTTTTCTCCTTGGCTTGTGGTTTTTTTTCCGCCTTTGGTGGAAGTTGTTGTGAAAAGCGGTCAGCTGAACTGGCGTTACCCTGCAGAGTGACGTGTTCGTGTCGGGCTTCTTCAGCTGTGCTGTGTGCAGTGAAGGCTGCGTTAACACCAGATGCCAATCATACACCACCAGTGGATTTGCAAGATTATAGGACAGGAAAAAAAGATGAAGGTTAAGCATGGGGCACAATAGAGATTACTTATGGTAATGAATTGTATAATTTTTCTAGACAGATCTGGATTAATGTTTATCCCAGGCAAAAGATTACTGTATGTCTGATTCTAGTTGTAAACAGACATTATTAAACAGAAGGTTTATGTTCATGAAATGCGACTATGGGTGTTAAAGCACTTATGATTTATTATGTGCAAAAAGAAAAATTAACCTGTTCATCTGCTATAGTACAAGATGCGCTGTGGGTTTTTGCATAATTTGAAAGGCATCTGCTCCTTTGGAATACAAATAACCAGTGAGATGAGAAAGATTCTCCTCTCATTTACACGGGTTCAATGCCTCACACTGCAGTGATGTTGAAATGGTGTAACCAAGAAAAGAATAGTCTTGTGTGCTTTTATAAAGCAGTATATTTCTGTGAGAGATCATGTTGACAAAGTCTGTTTGCTTGTGAATCTTTAGGGTATTTTCTTTATAACTAAAAAAAAAAGAAAAGAAAAAGAAAAAAAAAAAAAGTCATGTTCAGAGACCTTTACAAATTACCTTACTGGGGTTTCCAAAAAAACTCCCTTTCACTACATGAAAGACTAATGTTTAGAGACATTGAATTTAATTTTTTTTAATTGAACATTTTCCAAAATACTTAGGTTGAAGCTCATTTTTCTCCTGCTTTATTGCATCACTGCTGCATAGCACAAGTGAGACATAGATACAGCATCCACATTTTTTAGTATTGTCTTGCTAAATAAGCTAAATAATCACACCTGAGTCAGTGCCTTCTGTGTTTTAGGTCAGATGAAAAATATTCCCTTAAGGAAACTGTAAAAAAACTCGAAAACTATGTTTTTTTGGTGAAGTAGATGTTGCAACTCTATTACTTGTTAACAAGAAATTATCTTTTCTCTGTGAAAGCAAGGAAAAATTACAGTTATCAAAATCTGTTCGTTCTATTTATGGGATGTATTTGTAGCCAGCTGATTTTTGCATAATGCCATTTGAAATTATCCATTTAACAATGATGGATGATACAACTGTGTTGCTCTCCCTCCACTTTGTAACTGATCCATCTACTTATAGATTGCATTGGACATGTTGCTGATGCTTTATTTGTAAAATTCACTCACATATGTGAGAAATTTGTTCGTTAAGTCTTACTGACTTCACAGAGGCTTCTCAGACAAGTAAAGACATTCCTCTATAAAAGCAAAACCAGCCCAATATGTGGAGTGAAAAGACCTGGGAATATCGTGAGGTTTGTTAGACTAATTGGAATTTAAGCAGTTAGACTAGAACTGAATAAAATGTAATCTGTAAGGCATTCTGAATGCTTAAATTAAAAAAGTTAAATTTCCATCAAAACACTTCATAGTGCTCTTTTATATTTCTTAGCTATATTTTGCATTTGGTACAACAAAATATTTGTCATTAGTAAAATATAACTCTAATGCTTGTAATATTTTCCATAATTATCAAATTTTACAACTTCTGTGAAGTGTGAGTCCAGAGTTAAAGTTCATAAGCAAATGAATTAAGCAGTAAAAGTTTCTGTGGGCTTTGTTAATCATTCCGTTTAGAATCCAAAGTTGATGAAGACTTCTGGAGATACCCAGGATGCAGGTGAGAGTCCCTCAGGAAATGGAGTTGGCTGCAGTGCTCTGCCTGAACATTTGTGCAGAAAAGCGCTGGATTTGGGGATGCACTGAAATACGAGCGGCCGCTCTTTTCTTTGCTGTGTGTTAGCAGACATTGATAAGTCGTGGAGATGACCTCCATATCCCAAAGAGACAGAAAGCTAGAAATGAAGACACATTTCTGTTATCAGTCTGCTGTGGGTCGTAAGTTGAACTGGTGTTATATTTTCCTCTGAAAGCCACGTAGCCTTGACACAGTGTTTAACAGTGTTAAGCTTATTGCTGCTGAGCTAAACATGTCTGAAGCGAACGATGACCCTCACGTCTTTGCAATAGCAAAATGTCTCCCTGATGTGATCCCGAAGACTTGGAGCATTAAGTTAATTTTCCCCTGGATTTCTGAGCTGCCTTCTTTTTACCCGGCGGAGCGCTTGTGAAGAATACAGCTTCTGACCGAATGACAGAACATGGAGGGTGAAATTAGATGCATTCAATTAGAAGATGACAAAAAGCCTATCTAAATATTTGTCAGGATGTTACTTACAGGACGTAGTCTCCAGCCAGGGAAGTGAAAGGTGGACACTCTCAGGACTTAATAGTCTGGGGGGGAAAAAGTGGGTAAATCATCCAGATTTTTTACAGGCTTGAAAGGGATAATTGAGGGTATCAAGTTGGCTGCTATGCTTCCAGGGGTATTGATCCCTCTCATGTAATCTCAGATTAGTTCTTTGCTTTTACTCACTTAATACAGAATTAAACATTACAAAGTTTTCTGGACAATTTGAGTAAATAATGTAATTATTTACTCAAAGTAATTATTTGACCACTAGAGGATGATTCATGCAGTGGTTTCTGAGAGTTATTGAAGAAAGAGGGGCTCCATCTTCTTCTCAGTATAAAAAAAAAAACAAAAACATGCTATAAAACAATCAAATAAAATGCCAAAGCCACAAAACTTAAGGAAATGAAAAAGGTGCAGCAAACTGTTGGCTGTGAGACTGTTGGACAAGAAGATGTACAGAAGATGTACTGGTTTTTCAGAGAACAAAAGGATGTTCTTGGAAACTGAAATTTGAAGTTAGTAGTCAGTTAAACAGAAAGAGATCAAAATATGCAGCTTGGTTTAGCCACATCTGTTTATCTGTAAATTAAATTTATAATATTTTTTTTAAGTAAATGAGCAAATATCTGGCTTATATTTTCCTGTTCAAAAAGTTTAAATTATGAAAGTAAAATTAAAAGTAAATGCAGTATACCATGGTTATTTTAATTTTTTTTCATTTGTGTTACAGCAGTTCAAGGGGGAATGTGACTATGATAGGGTTAATCCAGCTACATAAAAATCCATGCTGTGTATGATAGTAGTAAAGCTTGTGATCCCTTGATCTTTGATTAGATCCAAGCTAGTAAATATCTTGTGTTTAATCAGAATGAGTTGTTCTGCATGTAGTATAAGTCACCTTCACAGATGGGATATAGCAGCAGAGTTGTTTGTGAATATTTGTTTTAATCCCTTCCAGAACAAGCATGCTTTATGTTTCTTTGTTGTAAATCAGATTCGAGCAACTAAAGATCAGCATGAAGGAAAGATATTTACTTGCAGTCTGAAGTGGGACAATGTGGGAACCTTTTTTGCTTTTAAAGAAAAACATAACATAGTAGATTCCTAAAAGGTATTTTATACTATTCCGTAAAGATAACTAACACACCATGGCAGCTTTTTTTAACTGGGATGCAAACATCAATACCTGTACTTTCTTCTTAAACTGTCCAGATACATTTCTATCTTAGACTATAAATATAAAGAGACTAAGATTTATTACAGTTAATATTCAGTCTGTATTATTATCCTATATTTTAAAGATATTTAGTTAGAATGGGTGTTCTCTGTGCTGGTAAGCTGAAATTACTAAAATGTTATCTGTAAGGATACTTGTTTTGTGTGGTGTGTCGGCGTCCTATTTACCTAAATCTGTCATAATTGCCTTCCAATAGATCTTCCTCTGACACACCAAATATTGAAAACGAGATGGCTCTTTGCTGGGAGCTTTTCTACCGAATGTCATTTTTCTGTGTTCGTAACTTGATGGTAATAACTGGACGACCTATAGTTAAATGTGTCTCAATTTCTCTCACTTATTTTTCCTAATCACCACATGGAGCCTTCAGTGCTCAGAGGTGTGATTAGATTTAACCTGCCATCATATCTGAAGAACTTTCTGTACAACATATTATACACTGCAGGAATTATAGATGTAAATGGTGGGTCTAAGTGTAATATATAAATAGATATAAAGATTAGTTGCTCTCATGCCAAAGTTAACTCCTGTTTATTTTCTTTCTTCTGTTTTTAACAGAAAGACTGGAGAGCCTCCACTAATAAATGGCTGGATTCCTTACCTTGGGAAAGCTCTGATATTTAGAAAAGATGCTTACAAATTCTTACTGGATCAGCAAAAGAAATTTGGAGATATTTTCACTGTACATATTGCTGGTGAGAAATATTTTAGTATGCATCTTGATTTTTTCCATCAGTGAAATGGAAATAATGATCCAAATGTTTAGTTTAGAATCTTCCTTAACCCAAAACATTTTTCTGTAGCATAGACCCATAAAAATCCCTCAAATTTACATATATTTTAATCATAATAGTTATCTATAAAATATCACTATCAATGTGTGTATTTATTTACATCTCTATGTATATATGTATTTTGACAGATTTTGTAGGTATGTACTGTACTGTATGAACATAGATTTTGCCAGCACATTAAATTGTGTATTGGTGGGTTTTTTCCTAGAGAAGGGAGAACTAACATCATCTTGACACTGCACAGAAAAATATCAGATTAAATTTAGAAAACACTTAAGAAAAAAAGTGCAGAATTTGTTCTCACACATTTTACAACTGGTTGACAGGAACACAAGGGAATGAATGACACATTGACTCAGTGATACAATCGGGACTGGAACACAGAAACTTCCCGTTGCCAGCCTCTTACTCTGATCATGCTTGCTGAAAATAACAATATAATAAAGTATGATATAACCTTGCTGTTTCCTGTATTTATAACTGTATTACTAAGCCAGATTGAATACAAACATTTGAGTGATTTCACACAGGCACTTAGCTGTGGAAGAAAAACATAGAAAAACACTAAAATCCTGAATGGAAGTTAAATATATAAATTTACATCTATCTATAGACAGATACTTTTTACTAAAGTCAGTTTAAAATCCAGTATTTTCTTGTGTTCAGAAAGGCAAGCTCTTATTAATATAGATGGTTATAATCATCTTCTGTGTCTTTACATGCTGATATCCTTGTTCAAATTATCAACTTATTCTATATAATTTTTAGTTACTTCTGTAGTTTTAGGGAGTTTGAAACAAAAATGTTAAGTGTAAAGTATAAAGTTTTCTTTTTAATTCTAGGGGAGTAGCTTTAGCTTTATGTTCCCATAGAAGCAATATTTTGAAATGAAAATATTTTTTTTAAAAAAGTCAATTAATTTAATTGCAATCTGTGTGTTTAATTAATAAAATTTTTCCTCCTTTAAAAAATTTGTCCTTTTGTTCCTTTGGAAGAGAATTTTACTGTATTAAATATGTGATTTTTTAAAAATTGCATTCAGGTTTTTTTTTTTGGAAACTAGTATGATCAGATCTTTTGCAACTTGAAAGTGAATTTGGCACAGTACAACACCAACTCTTGTTGAAATACATTCCTTTTTATTGTTAATTTGAATTCACACTAAAATACAGTTTTGGCTTTTTACAAATACCAATTAATAGCTAAAATTCAGATATTAGTACATTCATAAAACTGGATGCAGTCATACTTCAGAATCTTAAAAGTGTTTAATCAAATATTTATTCTTTTGTCTCTTTATTATTTTATGCAAGACTGTGTTTAAAAGTTTGTGTTTAAGAAGTCCATGAGCATAATTTAGTTACAGAAGTTCTATTTCCACAACAAGCCAAAATCTATCTCCGATAATCCCCTATGTTCAAGTGTTTTGAGCCAAGCCTCCCTTGATAAAGACTGAGGTAAATAGAGTTAGTTCTGGATATAATTTCTGTCTTGTGCAGGGAAATGTTTGATTTTGTGAATTCTTCTTAACAGAGACAGCACTTTAAATTCTCTTTTTTGGTACAAAATTGCTGACCATCAGGACTTCACTAAGGAGAAATAGTTTGTCATCCTCAAGTCAGGGAAGAAACCAAAGCTAGTTAGTGTCTCCTATCGTGTCCTGATCCGAAGGCATATAGGATTTCTCTGTGTCTTACTGATTTGACAAAGATGATGTTTCTGTGCTCGGCAAACATAGTGTAGCCAGCTGTATCTGGACTATCATTACTTTACCCCCCTAGTGGATGTCTAAAGGTCCTGTCAGAAAATTCTATCAATATATATTGTTCTAATTATTGGTTCTCAAACTAGTTCATTTGGAAAATGCGGAACGATGCTTGGAGTTTCTGGCGTTGCCCCGTACTGGTAATGCGATTTTGCTGATTGTACTTTCCCATGTGATGGGCAAATGATTGTCATCCCTAAAAGTCGCAAGGGACATGGATGTCATCTTAATAAAGAAATTAAAAAGCACATCTTTCTATGAGAAACAATGTAAATTCCTGACCTGTCGCAGAAAATAGTTCTCTAATTGGTTTTGTGTGGTGGTGCAGCAGAATCGTTTTCCCCAAACGTCATGCCAGCGCAGCACCACTGTACATCATTGTCAGCAGTTCAGCAGAATCTCCCTAATAAGAGGACGATTACGTAAATCCAATAGTCTTGGGGGGAAAAAAAAATCAGAAAAGAAAAGAATAAGGAGGGGAAAGAGAGAGTCTATGGCGTGAGATGATCATACTTTCCAAGCCCTTCTGCTTCTTAAAGAGTCAGCAGCATAGGCAGACAGCTAGGTAAGAACTTAAAGAGCTTGAAACTGTTTTGTCATTGTTTCTTGGGATTAAACTTTGTGTCCTTTTCCTCTCAAGTTGATAGGAGTGATAATGAACCCTTCAACATTCTCTCTGAGACTAACTCACCTTTAATAAAATAATCCTTGTGGTTTTTACTAAGCACATTTGCCTTTTCAAATACTGCTGCTAAGTCATTCTTTTCTTTAAAGCATGATACACCTACAGTATCATATCACATTTTTCTCTTGTAGGCAAAAGGTAATTTACATTAACTCCTTACCAAGCTGAAGCCTGCTCCAAGCATTACCGAAATAACATCCATCATTAGATGCCATCTGAAATGCTTGTCTTTCATCATTAGCATTAAAAAGCTCCAGAATGCATTATTAGTGTAATTTCTTAACTATCATACAAATACTGACTTCTGCACTCAGATTTACCAAAGTTGACAATTTTCATATTTTCCACATCAATCTTCTATTTCTAGGAGATCACAGAAACTAAATGGAGATAACCAGGCAATATATTTGCAGCATGGGTGTAATGCAGACTGAAGAATTAGATAGTGAAGTATGAATTCTCTGTAGCCGTTAAAAATAAAAAATCAGAAGGCTTTTTGCAGAAACAAGGATCTCTTGTTTTGACTTGTTTTTTACTGTATTAAATAAAATAGCTCAGTGACTCAAACTATTGTGAATTGGAGTGTGACATGTCTAATTTTTGGCGTTGAAGGCTTTTTTTACAAACTAACAGGGAAAGACTCTAGTGGTTTCTATATAAATACCTTCAATATTTAAGGCTACCTGATTTGTGGAGATTGTAGTATGCCTCCATTTTTGGCTGATTTGGCATTACCTTTTTTAGTTCTTTGATGGAAACTCATGATTTTGGATTGATTTTAGAAAAGGTTACTTTCCAAAGTTGTCTTGACATTAGCTGCAATGGAAAGACATGGGAGTAGAGGGGGAAGCTGCATTTTAAAATACCAAATAATGACTGAAAATTTTATGAAAGGTTTTAATTTATTGGCCTCTGACACTACCAGGGACAATCAGTTGGAAGAAACATCACTGGGTACAAGGGCAGGATTTTAAAAGCAAAACTAAGGACCATATTGGTGCTTAAAAAATTAAAAATCATAACTTGAGGTGAGAAAGTTTGTTCCACTTTGGATGTTTGCTGTTCAGGGTGTAGAGGAGGTGTTGGGACATGATTTTGTAATTAACAATCTGTTCCTGTATGGAGAAGACTGGGGTAAGCCATGTAATGCATCTGTGTGCAAGGATGACTTTAATTGTTAAGGTTCCCATACCCACTCTCTCAGCATTCTAACTGCCATTTATTAGCCCTAGGTTTTAGTAGTTTGCTAATTAACAGATCTAAAATTAGATTCTCGATGGCATACATAAACAAGCTGCCTTTGTTATAGGGGGGGGTCCACTTTTCTGATTATCTAGACCCTTACTAAATGTAGCAACAAGAAATCTTTTGGTTTAAGTGTTCAAATATGTTGTTGACTTACAGTGATGTGGTCTGGAGCCTGAATTGATTCTACAAAATGAATTAGATTTTGTTACATACTTACTTTTTGCTACCAGGAACCTGATGAGAATAATAAAACCAGGATCTGTAATATTCTTTTGCTCAAGGACTTTTTTTTCAAAGTATGTGCTAGTGGTGAGTGAGTTTTGATTTGAAATTATTACTAAAATTGTTTGTCTGAAAACTCATTTGTTGAAAATCATTTTCTTACTTAAAAATGATAAGAATTGATGTGCGTTTGCTAAGTGTCTGATTAAAGATCACAAAGAAACTCATATTTTGCATCAGAAATAAGCAGATGGTGGACAGATGGTTTAAATTAATATTAATTAAAAATCTTAACTTAAATTGTTTACCCTGTAAATGCAAAGTTAAGAAGCCAGCTTTCATCTTTAGGGTTAATAACACTCCAAATCTATTTATTAAAAATTGCTCCAGTGGACATTCTTTCCAAGCTTTGATCACAAAGATGGTAGCCTCAATAAAGAGCATGAAAGTAGGTGAAAGCTGGAAAGAAAGGGTAATTCTAGGACTCTTAACAAAGATCCTCCAAGACTAAAGTCAAGTCAAGACTAAAAATTCCTGTTAGCCTTTGTAGTCAGAGAAGGTCAAAAAAGGGGACAGAGAATTCAGGATCTCTCTTTCATGCTGGTTTTTTAATATACTTATTCTTTAAAATTAAATTTACAGCTGCGGTTGATTATGTTACAGTAAAACAAAATCCATGATTCATACACTGTTGGCAAAAAAGAAAAAGAGTTCAAATTCTGTCTTGTTATATCCTTTACATTTCCTTACTAGTTCACTGGGGTTGCAGTTGTTGTAATTGGGAGGGGAATTATGGAAGCTGGTAATTGTAGAGGAAGCCCAGAGTGTACCCAGATACCATAGAACACTGTGTGTGTATATAAGTCAGAATATGAAATAACTATGATAATTCAGATATCACTATATCGTAACCATGGATACTTGACATTTTTAGTGGTAGTGACTACTTTATCTCTGGACATCTGTCACAGAGCCAAATTTGGTCCACAGTTAAGCATGTAGTGTTCCCATTAAAATCAAAGGAAATTTGTCCCCTTAGTGAGACAGAATTAGACTGTAAGTGCAGGAAGCTTTGCTCTTTCCCTGAGTTTGTGACTGGGATATTTCATAGGTACCCTTTTTCCCTAATGCACCTCTTCATTCAAGGTAAGAATCAGGAAGTCTAAATTTAGAACCATCTATAAAGAGCTAAGATTGAATTGATCTTTGGGAGTGTTAGCATTTTGATTCATGGCAATTCCTCCAAATGCTTTTCTTCGGCAGTTGACTTTAGGGACAAATTGCAGGACATATCTGGCGTGGACAATTTGAAAAAGCATTTACCTTGATGCAAGCCTATCCCTCTGTACAAGGAGCTGAAGGTATCACTGTGTCACCACATTAAGGACCCTGGGAAGGGTAGGAAATTGGTGGTGCACTCTGACACAATGGATCCTAGCACTGGGACAGTGTGTATCCCAAAGTGGGGCCCATACTAAAAATCGTGCCTGCTACATCATAGACTGCTCCTTCACAGTCATAGACTTAGGTAGTCATGTCATGGATACTAAGCACATTCTTAACAAAGAGTTAGCAAAGCTTCAGGGAAGAAGAGCCAGATGTGAGAAAAGCTTTAAATGTTGGGGGTTTGCAGTGAGCAGTTAAAGCTGTAACTGACAGATTATGAGTTCCTGTGTCATCTGCTTGGAAAAAGCTGCCTAGGTGGCATGTTTTCCACTCCAGACCCTGTCATTCACTGTCCTCTGTGCAGGGGAAATGTGTGTGTTTTTCACTTTCTGCTAGTGAAAGCCTACAGTTTCTAAATGTTGCTATGACTCCACACTGTATTTTCATGAATTAGACCTGAGTAGAAAATTATTTATTTCAGAGCACCACATTTGAAGAGATCACACACAACTGTTGGCACAAACAGTAGATCTGTCTACATGGAAATGGCTTCACAAGGATTTTAGAAGTGCCTGCAAAGTGTATACTGGTGGAATCTGCATCCTGACAAAGAAAATCTATATAATATTTGTTTTCCTTTATTTTCTTTTTTTTTTTTTTTCCTTTGCAGATTTATTCACATATCTTTGCTTTAGGGTTTTTTTTTTTCTGCATGCTTTTTTAAGACTTTGGCTTATTTTCAGTTATTGCTTCTGGAAGTGTAACCAGATTTATAAAAGTGCACGTATCACTAATTATTTTCTGTTCTTCTATTCAGGTAGGTATATTACCTTTATCATGGACCCATTTCAATATGTCTATGTCATCCGAAATAGTAAGCAACTTGAATTTCATGAATTCGCTAATAAAATGGCATCCAAAACTTTTGACTACCCAGCCTTGTCAAAAGGAAAATTCCCTGAACTCAAGGAAAACCTGCACAGAATCTACCAGTATCTACAAGGCAAGCCTTTGGATATCATTTCTGACCACATGATGAAAAATCTCCAGGATATATTTGAATGGAAATGCTCACAAGCAACAGATTGGGAAACAGAAAAAATGTACAAATTCTGCTGCTCTGTAATGTTTGAAGCCAGTTTTGTAACACTATATGGAAGAGTTCCTGCTGCAGATGGCCACAAAGTTATTAGTGAAATCAGAGACAAATTTATCAAGTTTGATGCCAGCTTTCCCTATTTAGCTGCAAACATACCAATTGAGTTGCTAGGAGCTACCAAGAAGGTTCGGAAGGAGCTTATACATCATTTTTTACTTCAGAACATGACAAAATGGCTGGGAGGGTCAAAAGTGGTCCAAGCCAGACAAGATATATTTGAGAAATATGAGCTGCTTGGAGATTATGACAAAGCAGGTAGGAAACTTATGAATGATTGCTTGTCTAAAATAAAATAATTTACTATAGACCTTTGAAATAAAAAGGCAAAATGGCGACCTTGAAATTTTTTTATGTTCTTTCTAATTGGCTAATGATAAAATGTTTTACTCTGAAACAACCCTCTATGATAATTGATTTTTTTTTTTGTGCTGAGGTGGTAAAACAAGATACTTAATGGTGATAATGAGAAAGATTATAACTGAGCTGCATTTCCTCCCCTTATTCCCCCCACCCCCCCGACATTACATTTCAAACTATTCTCATTAAGCAGAAAATTAGACTTCAGAAGCCTATTGGTCCTCATTAGCATTCACTGATCCTTGGCTGGGTCTGTGTCCTAACATCTTTTAATTAGCACACTGCAAATCTAATCAGTGTAATAAACGCTATTAATCTTCCTTTTCACTTATTTTCTCCCAGCACATCATTTTGCCTTCCTGTGGGCCTCTGTGGGAAACACGATTCCAGCTACATTCTGGGCCATGTATTATCTTCTGCGGCACCCAGAAGCTCTTGCAGCGGTGCGTGACGAGATTGACCATTTGCTGCAGTCAACAGGTCAAAAGAGAGGGCCCACATATAACATCCACCTCACCAGAGAACAATTGGACAACCTGGTCTACCTAGGTAATTTATTTTTATCTGTTAGGAAGAGGAGAGGGGCTCTCCCGGCAAACTCAGTTTATCACTCATTTCTGTTTACTGAGAAGGTGGAGGACACAGCTGCCTAATTGACATAATAACACCCATTTACATCAATTATAAATTATGTAGTTTATAGCTGTAGATACTCTCATTGCATGTAAACATTAAAGCCTAGGTAATTAACTATGCAAGGTATGCAAAAGGCTAAATCGAAGCTTTGCAATTATTTGAAAAAAAGTTGATGCCTATTAAGTTGTTTGATTCTGAGCATCTGCCGAAGTGTTAATGCATTTCAAATACTTCTGTACGGTACTGCCAAGAAAGACCCTTTTCTGAAATTAAAGTGGGATTGTGTATTTAAACTGCAAATGTATTTTATCTGCAAGCAATTTCTTTCTTTCTTCTCTCTTTAACAAAACAAAAAAAGTTTCTAAAGCAGGCTTTTGTTGGGCAATGTCTCCAAATAAAATATAAGAAGATAAAAATTTGCAGAGGCTAAATGGTGTTTTAAGTACTTTATTCAAAAGAGGGAGTTTTAAGGGAGCTACATATCTTCCAGTTCTGGATCCAGGGTTCAGAGGGAGACCCGTGCCAATGGTCATTGAAAGTTGTTTGAATCAGGAGATGTAGAGCATCAACTCTTGGTTTCACTTCATTTGGTAGTGCATAGACACTGGCAAGAGAAATGGTGAAAATAACCCAAGAGATCAAAGACAGTGTAGCAGGTAGGTATCTAACTTTTAATCATCTGTGAGTCTCCACAAGTAGTGTTACAAGGCCAGACAACAGCTGAATAAGAGATTAAAGGTTAAATAATCGTCTGTTTTTAAATATCAAAACCAATCCTCTGTTCAAAACAAGCTCATGTCCATAGATCTTGGTAGCTCATGACCTGAATTGATGCTCCACTCTTAAACAAAGCTGTGTCAAGGGATGATGGTGGAGCAGTGCATTCTGTGCCTGGTTTGGATCCTTGTAATAGCTGCCATTCTCCAAGATCATCCGATGTGGCACATTTCAAGAATCTGTGTGCAAACTTGATTTGATTACTACAAATATAAAATTGAGTCCAATCCATTTCCTTTGTGTTAGAGCATTAATATTAATCTTGCATATCGTGAGTCTACTAAGTTGGTTATATCTGGAGTCATGGCTGTTTTGATGCAGATTTATCTCTAACCAATAGAGAATGTTTTTGAAGTAGAGGCGGTATTGGATGACAATTCTGGTGAGTAACATGACTTTCTAAGCATTTAATGGACTTCTAAGGAGCACAAGTAACACTACTTCACATCAGAGCTAGCATACACCAATAAATAAGTTACCAAGCATCAAGAAGATCAAAAGAGGACTTAGTTTATATTTATAGACACTGAGATGGGAATGGCCAGTGAAAAAAAGGGGGGGGGGGGGTAAAAAGGCTCCCTAAAAGTGTAGGAATAAGGAAATTAAAACCATGTAGTTCACTAAAACCATCTGGTGCAAAACAGTATGAACAGTTTAAAAACATTAACTGTGTCATTCTTCTGCTTCTTGAAATTTTGAAGTACCTTGGTAGCATTTGATTTATGTGTTGAGAGGGAAGTGCCACATCCTACTTTGTAGTATTCTTGTAACACTTTTGTTAAATTCCATAATCATGTTAAACATAATGTGATATGAACAGAAGCTAGATTTCAATTCTTCTGGCACTTAAGTCATAAAGGGCTGGATACTGTCCCATAAAATAATAATATAGAAAAAAATCTGTACCATGAGAGAATTAAGAGTCATGCTTCAGTGGAAAGGGATGTTTTGTTAATAAATGTGTAGGAGGGACAAAGGTTCCAAATTGCACTGCTTGCACGCCAAGACCTCCCCTCTTGCAGGAAGGCCGCTGACCCCAAACCTCCAAGACTGAGCTTTTCCTCTTTCCATTCCCTCTGTACAAACCCGGAGCGTAGGAAACTGGGATTGTGTCCCTGCTCTCAAATGAGGCAGACCAGGTGGGATGCTTGCATGTTCATCACCTTGTCATCTCATTCTCCTGTTTTAAGTGCTCTGATTCTCTGTCCTCTTTTTGGCCTGCTGTAACAAGAGCCTTTTTGATTCTTCATGCTACGGAGAAGAAGCACAAATTGCTAAGAGTCTTTCTCTGGAAGAGCACAAATTGCTAAAAGTCTTTCTCTGGAAGAGCATTGTTATTATGGTCAGATTGTTGGGTCTAGGGAACAACATGGCCTGATTTACTTCTAAATTCTAAGCTCAGGTACATGATTATTTTATTATTAAAAAAAAAAAAAACAAACCAAACAAACAAAACCAAAATGCAAAACACATTCAACCCAAAATCAAACTAGCAAATTTCGGCCCTGATTATCTTCTTCTGATGGTATTTCTGGGGCAGCACCCTTTGTATTTTCTGCATAACACAGTACAGACCCAAAATCCAAACGTGTGTATTTGTGTGCACAGAGTAACATAGATTATTAGACATTATGGCTCACAGCAGAGCTCTAATATGGTAAAGGACACATGAAAATGGTCTGTCAGTTAAACTGGCTATAATGGAAATGCCGAGGGTAAATCAGAGATGTACTTAGTGCATGTGTAATGCTAGGCATGTTTAGTCAGTTCGTTTATTTAATATTAGTCCATTCATTTATATGGTGAAGTATTCTTGCCCCAGGTCATTGCTGAATCCCAGATATTCCTGCAAAAAGAGCACAGCTTGAAAAATTGTTTTGTACACAAGAAAGGGTAGGAACCCAAAAAGAGCTAATACAGAGTGTGTAGTCATAACACAAATGCTAAGCATTAAAATCAGTGTTTGAATTGAAAGGAATAAATATATTTTTCTGGAATGGGCTGAGCAGTACCATTTAGTTCTGAGTAAGATGCAAATATACTTGTTTCAGATTATCGTTTGTGTTGGCACACCCTGATGCCTGTGGGTAAATGACCCCCCCAAATATTTGCATACTTAATAGCTATTTTCCTACAATACACTCTAATAATTATTGCACCCCATTACCTGCTCTGTGTTAGTGTAAAATTAACAATCTATTACTGCACAATAAGTTTTATAAAACATTTACAGATAGAGATCATGTTTAATTAAAATTAACTTGCCTATGAAAGCCAAATGCACTTATGATTCGCAATGACCTTTTATTACCTGCAGTCCCTTGTTTTGGCTGGATGATTGACAGCTTGCTGTTTGGCTACCATGTTGTATTTCAGCTGACAAGACTTTTCATTTTAACTCAATTTGCCTGCCTATCACAAGCTGGTGGCAGGCCAGGCTCAAGTCACCCAGCTTTGCCTCAGCAGCTTGCTCTATTTCTCATTAGTACGCATTTATTCAGTGGAAATTGGAAGACAAATGCTTGAAGGCATGTGAACTAAGTATAGCAAATTAGGGTTTAAAGACTGAATATTTATAAGTATATTGAAACAGTTTTTTTAAAAAAAAAGTCTAGAATGAATTGGAAGCTAAGTGCTAGCTTTAGTATAAGAGAAATGAAGAGAGAAGTGGGAGGATTCTAAGAATAACAATACTATGAGATATATCTCTGTCTTCCCCCTCCTTCTCTCTCTAGAAAAGATGTAAAATCTCTCTGACAACACCTTATCAAACAACAGCCTGGCTTCTTTATGTAGCGCTTGCACAGTGAAGTTTAGCATCTCATGTGTGTAAGAAGGGGGGAAAAAAATGAGGGTCATGTTCATTTGCTGCTTGGTTATCCCTTGGTATGCTTTAAATTGCCTTGTTTGTTCGGCACAAGCACAGAAACAGATGTTGCTCTACCGTGCTGGATAATTTACTGTACCTCACGGTGCAGAATGGAAGGCCTCCCAAGCAACCCAGCTGGTCTGTCAGCGGCGATGGCTGGTGTCTGCTGAACTATGACAACTGCAAGTAAAGGCTGCAGTTTTATTGTGCAGTTGTCATTCCTCTCAATGTATAGCTCTGGCATTTGTGGAAAGCTGACTGTCTATTTTTTTAATGTGAGCCTGCAAAGCCATATAAGCTCCATTCTCCTTTGTTGATCATAATGTGACTCATTACTTTTGTCATCTAATGATTATCGGCATGATCGCTCAGAGCGAGAGCCAAGCTTGCCTTCCACACATAACTGGTACTGGAAGGTAAAACAGATTTGTCATTTACGATCTGACCGCTAAGCCACACTTTGCGCTCCATTATTGTGATTAACTTCTGCATAAGATATGCTGCCCAATTGTCATTTGAGATCCGGCAGCGGGCAGGGACTGCCATGCTTTCTGGGAGGATGTCCGCCGATAGGATGTGACCGCATTGCTTGGGTGGTTAAACGTGCTGCTATTTTGCTGTGGCACTTTATAATTATTTTGCTTTTTTTCTTTCCTCCATCCCGCTTCCTCATTTGATTTCTGCTGTCTCCACATATGTCAACACCATTTCCAAATGGTGGACTGGTACAAAGATACCAGCTTCATTTTCTGCAGGTTGAAGGCAGTCTGGAGCTGAGGCTGGACCCTTCCTTTGTACCGCGTAAAGTTTTGTTGCCAGAGCGCTGCCAGTTGAAATCTATCGTGTCAGGTGCCTTGTGGCTATCCGCAGTAGAGGCCATCTTCTGGAACCAGGGTTCTTTTCTGGCTTCGTCACCAACAAGCCGATTTGACTCTGCCTGATTATAGTAACGAAGGCAGTCCAAAAGAATATGCACAGACTCACTGTACGTCACATTGAATCACAGCACTGGCCACACAAAGCTGACCGCAGCCTCATTTCTTTAGACAAATGCATGCTTAAGGAAAAACCTCCTGCAAGAAAGCATCCAGGGCCACTTTATTTGCTATGCATGCTGCACTAGATTTAATTTTTAGTGAAAGAACGTTTGTTATTATTTTTTTCAGAGGCATCTATACTGGGTAGCTACTGTCTCTAATAAACGAACCTTTTGGGTGCAGCAATTGCAGTGCCTTGGTGAACACTTAGAGAAGGCTTATTTGATATCACAAAACATAGAGGCAGACACAAATGGATTATTACATGCAAATGAAACCCTATTTTAGGCTATTTTTCACACTAATGATTAGAAGGAATCAAGTCACATATAACAGTGCCCATACACACTGGTGGAAAAATAGTCAGTTTTGATTACAAAGTGAGAGATGCAGCCCTAGACAGGAGCTACATGCTGATATACATGCTATCAGAATGATTTATGCAAATTATGCATATTATTCCCAAAGGAATTCCTCCTCAAACTGCCAGGATAAATTGCCGGAAATTAGCCATAAAATCTGTCGTGCTAGGAGCAAAAGGTGAAGGCCATTGGGAAAGCAAGGACATTCAGCTTCTGGAGCCTTCCAGGATGTGATGGTGGAGACAGAAATCTTGCTTTCCCCAAACCTGAAAGGACTATGTTTTGTTTCCTCTAGGCCAATTAGAAGTGTCTTTCTCTCTTAAAATTACTAGGCAAATAATGAATTGCTTTCATTCACTCTGACCACAACAGACACTATAATTTGGCAGCATAGTGGATTGAAAAGAAAATGCATTTTAAAATTCTCAGAATGACTACAGAATTAACAAGCAGAATGATTTCTAATGTATAGTCCTACCATTAAATCCAACATCTTTCAAAAAGCAAGCTAAACGGCACCATGGATGCTTTCACTGGTACTTGTTTGCAACCGCCACAATATATGTAGATGCATAAAGCGTTCATGTCTTTTGATTGCGTTGTTTTCAACACTATGCCTGAATAATGACTTTCCACCCAAAACCTGGTGCTGCTTACAACCGACAGGATTTCTCATCACCATCAGGGAGAATCACTTCGGGAGGTTCAGCATCCCTGACTGCTCCACTCCACCCAGCCCTGTGGGGTTGTGTATTGCCTTCTCCTGGTCTCTGCTTTATGTTTGGTTTTGTTTGTATGTTTTTTTCCTTTTTTTTTTTTTTTTTTCCCCTTTAGCCTGCCCTACTAAACTCCTGGAGAATCAGCAGCTGTAGCCATGTATAACTTCCAGTCATCTCCCATATTTCTGATGCTTCCCCCTCCCCCCTTTTGTTTAATCGCAGAAAGTGCCTTAAACGAGAGTTTAAGAATGTGCTCTTCCTCTATGAACATCCGCATCAGCCAAGAGGATTTTGTTCTCAAGCTTGAAGGGAATCAAGAAGTCGTTTTGAGGAAAGGAGACTGGATAGCCCTCTACCCGCAGATTTTGCACATGGACCCTGAGGTCTATGAAGATCCTAAGGTAAACATTCAGCTGGTGCTACTCTTCCTACTCCAGGCATATCGAAGCAGCCAATCCTTTTGTGATCTGTGGGTTGTTTTTTTTGTTCTGTTTTGTTTTGTTTTGTTGGGTTTTTTTTTTTTTGTGTGGTTTTTTTTTTCCACTGCTGTTCTTTCTTGTGGAACAAATCTTCCTAGTTTCAGATGTATTTTCTAGGGCCCTGCAGGTCAAAGGATTCATGGCCTGAAGAGAGAAATATGGTGATGAGACTGACTGCACTGCTTTCAAAGGAATTGACAATTGCACATTGACTACCATAAACTTTAGGCTAAATGTGGGCTTTGTTTGGCAGTGGATCATTTGATACCCAAGGAGGGCTGAATAATAGAAGGTGGTTTAAATAGCAAATAATGTGGGCCATTTAGCTAAGTGCCCGCAAAGCATCATTGAATCTCTGAAGCCCTATAATAGCAGTGTCTTACTTGAGCCTTATGCTTTTTCATCTCCCTTCGTAGGGATTCACCCCTTCTTGATCAATTAGAGTGTTGTGAACTTGAGACTGTAAAGCTGTTGCTCTGCAGTGAAGCTCGGAGGGTAATTGTGTCATCTCCTTGTATTTTTCTCTGACGCTCAAGTTAATGAATATCAAAGACTCAAAATTAATCCACCCTGCCTCAGCTGTAATACAGCTTCAGAAGTTCACCACCTGCATGCAAATGGAATAGTCCTCCTCTCGGCTAGGTTGCTCCCCAGATTGCTGTCCCCAGCCCAGGGTGCCACAGAGGAAGAACAAGAAAGAGCGAGGGTGCACGCTGGGTCTATTAAACGGCTCGTCTGCCTGAGAGGCAAGAGCTTGTACTTCATCCATTCCTCACCCCTATTTTCCTAAGCAAATGGCTGTCTCCCAGCCATGCTGATTTCCATCCTCGGCATTTGAGCCAAAGAAGAAAGGAACTAGATTTTTTTACATGTTTATAGAAAGCCTGTGTTAGAGACGTTGCGCCGTGAAGCTCTCCCTTTCAGGAATTTGAAGATGAGAGCTTGCAAAGCAAATATGAGATTCAAGTGCCTCGTTGGTGCAGGACAGCATTTCGTTGTGTAGGAGCTCTGCCAGCCTCAGTGAGAGGAGGTGTGGAGCATGTTGGAGTCAGCAGGAGTAAGGTATAGTCACTGAGATGAACATTGAAGCCACGAGAATGAAAATTACATTCAGAGGAGCTCTGCTGGCTGTCCCCACCCAAAAATTAAGATAAAGCCTGCAGAGAAAATCAGGCTTTTAAAAATAATTCATCTATTGGCAAATAGTTGATTAATATTTTTATCCTTAAAAAGGATAGATAACAGCTAACAAATAAGCTTTTTTTTTTTTTTTTTTTATCCTTAACACTTTATTTTGGAGAATGTTATTGATTTGTCAAAAGTCCATCTGTTTGTTTAGGTCCTAGACCAAAAGCATCAGTGTGGAAACTGATCTCCTCCCTTATCCAATAATTGCCGGAATATATTACCATATTTCCATTGCTTGAATATATCTGCTTAGTATCAGCCCTGCTCAGCTTTCACAGTACAGCTTTAGTTCATATATTTTATCTTTTTGATAGTGAATGAGCAATCCACACATTGCAGTACATTGATTTCAGCACATGGGCCCCTCTCGAAAAGTGGGGAAATCACTGTTCTGTTTGGTTCTTAAAATATGCAGTGTGCTTTCAACAATAACTACTGAGGATCAGATAGAGATGGAGAATGAATTTTTTGAAAGGTGCAGTCTTGAGCTTGTCATGTATTTAGGGAAAACTTTTCCTGGGAAAACAGGCAGCTTGATGAGATAATTTTGTAGCAATGCTTTTTCTCCTGGAAACATAAATTTAAGTTCAAGCTATCTTGTGCTTTGGCACCATATTGTGTAAGTGTAAGCATATATTTCTGACCTCTTTCTCCACCCATTAAAGTCTAAATAAATTAGTCCGTTTTCTATAAATTGTGTAAGTGAAACCCTAAATTCTAACTCAGCTACTTATAGAGCTCAGTAAATGAACTCTGCAAAACCCACAAAGTAAATATCAGAAAACCCTGCAGGAAATCCTCTGTGGTGATTTCCCAAACAAAGCTAAATACAGCATGTGACAGAAGGAGACTTAGATCAATCACAGGAGATTGCTCAGTTTTCATAATACTTGTAGCAGCGCATCAACACAGAACTTCATTCCCTGCTTTCGCTCAGCATCCTGACCTTTTTTCTTGCTGTCAGCCACCATGTCTCTTTCAGGAGACCTTGTGCATGGCTGAAAATTCCATAATTTCTGAAAATTAGTCTTTATTTGGTCAGTGAACTAGCTTTTAAGGAAACACTACTCAACCCAAGGGGCTTCAGCAGCGCTGAGTTTGATGTCATTGTCATTGGCTGTATTCCTGTCTCACACTTGTTTTCTGTTTTCCCTATTCCTTAGACAGCAATTAGTTTTTTTTGTTAAAAGCCATTGCAAGTCTCAGAAAGCTCTTAATATGACAAAGAAAGCATAAGGTCTGACCCAGTTTGTCTGTGTGTTCAATAACATAGTTCTTGTATTCCTCCAGACACCAGAAGTGCACCTTGTGAATACGTTTGAGCAAAGTAAAGAGCTCTGGGTTGGGTTTTTAAGCTATTGCAGTTCATATTCAGCACTGCTTTTTTAGACCAGCAGGATTTAAATTCAGGAAGTAAATCTTATGGTATTCTGGGCTTTCATTTGTTACTGTGCTGCTCCAAATGAAGCAATAACTTCCTGGCAGAAAAAAATAAAGGCGTGCTTCCTTTTAGCTGGGGTGTTCGAAGAGACTGAAAAGAATTACTTGTCAGTGGAAGCAGACATAAAATCACCTTTATATTTGTCGAAAATCCAGGCCTCTGCCATTTAGTGAAATAAGCTTTTGCTCTTCAGCACCCAAAGTTGCATCCCCTCCGGTGCACCTAGTATTTGTTCCCTTTCTCACTTACCACCTTCCCTGACATTTGTTTCTCAACAGAAAGACCTGGAGTGCATGATTTTCAGAGCCTTTAATCTAATGAGTAGATCAGTATCAGTGTATTTTTAATGGTGGTGTGGGGTTTTTTAATCAGTTGAGGTTGGTTTCTGTCTGACTGACTTGTTCCCAGCCAGCTCCAAATGGCTGCTGCTATAGCAGATGTATGCAAAGCAGGACAAATGCTAATGAGTGACCATAAGCAAGAAGTGCCTGTCATTTTTATTCAAAGCATGCAGGAGGGTTTTGTAAGTGGTTAATTTGCCATTGACTGAGTGAGGATGCCAGATCTCCTTCATTCAAAAACACAAATTATCTCTAAACAGGGATCCTGCTACTCAAAAATAGTCAGAAATATGTTCAATTTATGGAATGTAGGTTACAAGTGTGACCTCAAGCCCTACTTGAAAACACCCTCTTTATAATGGTCACTCACTGGCATTGTCCTGCTTTGCTCACAGCTTCTGCAGCAAAATATTTGGAGGTAAGAGTGGCAAATTAAGCAGCAACCATCTCCAACTGAAAGGAAAACTGACTGCAAAGAGTTGAAGTTTTCCAAATAATCTGCACCATTCGGTGCAAAAGAAGGATGGATTTTTTTCTGGCTTGCAAGAGCAAAATTGGTGCAATGCATTAATTTATTCATAGGCATTTGCAGAATTTGGCAGATTATCCTTATTCATGATGTATGTACCACACTGAGTGCATATGATGCTTTACAAGAAAATTGTCCTTCCACTAAGGTTCATTGTCCCTGCTACAAGGCGGTCAAAATCTAATTACAATCAATATAGGCCAGACACTCAGTGGATGAGATGAGGAAGTTGAAGGAGCTTGATGTAAAAGGACTGAGCTAAATAAGTGGATTTAAAGAGTGTTCTTTGCAGGAAAGATAATGTGAGTTAATGAAACTTGAGGGAACCAACTAAAAAGAAGAAGCTGTCAGCTCCTTGTCTTCCTCTTTATCTTATTTTCTGGGTTTCAGACGCGTTACCATTGTGCAAAGAAAGCAGCTCATGTAACTGCCTTGTTAGATATCACGCTGTCTCTCTCTCTTTCATTTTCAGGAGTATAAGTTCGATCGATACATAGAGAATGGCAAGAAGAAAACCGCATTCTACAAGGCAGGAAGAAAACTGAAGTATTTCCTAATGCCCTTTGGCTCTGGGATCAGCATGTGTCCAGGGAGGTTCCTCGCAATGAATGAGATGAAGATGTTTCTTTTCATACTATTGTCTCATTTTGATGTAGAACTAGCAGAAAACAAAGCTGTCAGACTTGATAACAGTCGCATGGGCCTTGGTATCCTCCTGCCAGACGTTGATATTGCCTTTCGTTACAAGCTAAGGTCCTTAAGAAATTGAGCAGCTGCCTATATCCCTTCCACTAATCTCCATGTTTGCTCTGTTTCTTCACTCAGCTTTATATTTTTGGAAACGTTTGCTTTTCCCTCTCTGCTTTTACCTCCTTCCTTTTTGTTTCTAAGGAGAAAAGCTGTTGGGCTGGAGGTAGAGACAAGATGCAGGGACGTGCAACCTCAATTTGTCCTGCTTGAGTTGTGAGAAGTGAGGCGACGTGACAAGAGTCTGGCCAAGTAAATAGCCCAGCATCTCTACAAGGTGCATCCCCATACTCTTGGTCGAGAGATGAGCAGGATTTACAGGGAGGATGAATCCAGGCCACTTACATAAATATCAGCATCTCCTCCTAGAAGTGTAATAACAAAGAAGGGGGGGGCTTCTTGTAATTATTATCCTAACTTTATATTTACTTTATTTCTTTCATGGTCTTGAGAGTCTTAGCCCTTTATTTGGGAGATATGATGGAAGTTGTGTGGGGTGGTGGAGGATGATTTGCAAGAATGTCTTACTGACGACACATTTCTAACTTCAGGTTTATTTACTAAGGGTGAATACCTTGCTTTCTTGCTCCTTTTTTTTGTTTTTTGGTTTTTTTGTTTTGTTTTGTGGTTTTTTTTGTTTGGTTGGTTTTTTTTGTTTTGTTTTTGGTTTTTTTTTTTGGCAAGTGCAAAAATTTAAAATATGTGATTTCTTTCCTGCAATCATTTAATGTCAGATGTTCTGTTGATTTTAATAGGCTCTTGATCAAGCCTAAATTATGTATTTTGGCTTTTGAGCCCCCAAAAAAGCATATTGTTCAGGAAGAAAATATATAAGGCCATTTGAAATTATTCTAAAACCTTGAAAATTAGCTTCTCTTTCTCTTGCTGTCTCTTAGTAACATGTTCGTGCATTTATTTTGACTGTTTCTTATGTTTGTTCATTTCTCTGAAAAGGCAAAAGAGGAAGAGGGTGTCAAGGGCAAGTGTGGAATCTAAAAATGTTTTTTAACATTTTTTTACTTTGCCTAAATTGTGCATAGGCAGAGTAGTGTGACCTGTGTTTGGAAACAGACTTGTCCATCTGCAAATTGGAAAACAGGCTCTTCCCTGGGGCCAAAATTTGAGCAAGTGAAAACCCTGGGCAGCCACAGAAGTTTATACTGGCTGCCCAGCCTGCTTCACTGGGTGCCCAGCTCTTGTTTGGAAAATTAATTTCCTAGTGCAAAAAGTCTGAGATTTTAGACCCTGTCTCTCTTCCCAGCCATTACTTCAAAGATTGATGAGGATTCCCATGGCTGTCCAGTCTCAATTTGCCAAGATGATAATTGTAATGGCAGAATAGCTACATCTGTGGGCCTTGCCTTGTGTTCCTAAAAAAAAAAATCTCTCTTTGGGATATGCCAGACTAAGTCTTTCAAAATCAGAAATTGTACTGATCTATATGGCACTTGATGGCCTATGGATGAAAACTACTACCTACATACTAAGAATTATTTATTGTTATTTTTGTAGAAGCCTGTTCACTTATTTGTGCAAAGCACATACACTAAATAAGCGTCAGCATCAGTAGAAAGACTTTCAGAGATTGGTACAGCCACATTCCAAATCCTCCAAGAAGTAAATTGTGGTTTTGTGAGCTATATTGGATAAACATTTTCTCTTCATATACAGTATCAATAATGTCTACAAATATGGAGTATACTTACATTAAATGGGCTTTGCAGTTGATTAAATGATTTAACTTTACTTCAACATTTAATCAACAGCAAAAGCTGATTATTGCTTTGTCCCAGAGAGTAAAATTGGTTTTTATGGAGACATTCTTGTACCCAGGTTACTTCTGTGGTTACTCTGTAGAAGCTATTCTGTACTCAGCTGTAGCTCACAATCCAGTTTGGACATTAGAGCCTGGCTTATTGAGAGAAGGAATGTTGATATCATTACACTGTTGACTGTATTCCATTATTGCTTATATATAAGCTGTAAAATGTCTCATGCTACAATTATGATGAATCCTTCTTTGGCATCCAACTTTAAAACAAACCTGAAGCAACTGCGAAGAAAACAGTGGGTATTTGTTTTAAACAGAAGCCTTTTTTTATAATTGTATTATATTTTTAGGATTTTTAATTAGAGTATCACTGGCTGCTACGTAATTTGATAGGGCATAATAGGACTGTGCCAAAAGTACATGCAAATCATTAGTAGTTTCAGATTAATGGCTGATCAATTTGCATAGTATCTATTCTGAAATTAAAAGAAGAACTAGATTGTCTCCAAAATAGCAAATTAAATCAATATCATATGTTCCATTAAAAAAAAAAAAAAAATTTAAAAAAAAAAAAAAAAAGAGATAAAAGGCTCAGAATCCTTCCCAGGAGTTGGATCAAACCTCTGTGAAGCTGATTGGAGACCTTGCATTAGAGAGCACCATGCAAGAGGCCAGCATTCTGCTGGGATAAAAGTTGCTTGCTCTTTTTTGCTCAAGAACCAAAATAATCAAATGCAAGGCAGGGTCTGCCCAGCCTGGCCTGGAATTGTGTCCCTGGTAACCCAGGCTCCTGGCTAGCAAGCACTGCATCACTACCTTGGCATACCTCGGCTGCTGAGGAAGAAAGCCTTGCCCCCATGTAAAGCCCTGAGAGCTGGAGCTGGTCAGGGAGGTTAAACCCTTCTGGTCCATGTATTCAGCAACTGAGGGGACGTACTGAGAGTCAGCAGCTGGTCTGACCAGAAATTACTCGGTCTCCATGAAGCAGGTCTGAAAGGCCCATGGTGTTGCTATTCCTGGTCAATAAGCTGAGACAGCACAACAGAGTGCAGCATCCCCAAAAGTCCCAGCTGGAGCCAAGCTAGCTGCAGGGTGCTGTGCCAAGAAGAGCATGTTTCACTACATAGGGCACAACATCCTTTTTGATTACCTCCTCTGCTGCAGGACCCAGGAGTGTGCAGCTCTGAGTGTCTGTCACTGGAGCACGAAGAGGCAAAACCATCTAAGCAGAAAGAGCAGTGCTCTTTGCCAGCATTCAGGTGCCGGTGGGGCTGCAGGGCAGGGTGGGGGGAGGCAGACCTGGGCTTCCCTCTCCCACCTCTCCACCTCAGCAGAGGGGTCTGCCCTGCCAGCCCTGCAGTACCTGCTGGGGGCATCCACAGACGTGGCAGGTGGATGGACATGGGTACCCCCAGAATTTCTCTGCTGTTCCTCAGTGAATTGGTGCTCTCACCCATCGGTTTGAGATGTGACTCAGCTGGTCACTACCAGCCTCTGACTGTAAGTTGTTGATGTCTATGGTTGTATCAATACTATCTTCTGCTATTAAAAAAAAATATATATAAGCACCTTTTTTCTAATTAAAAAATAGGTTTCTTAATAGTCTGGCCCTTTATAGCACCCAAGAAGAAAGTTAATTCATCATGAACTAATGTGAATGCTAAAACATAATTTTTTAATTATTCTTCTTATTTTAATTTACAGACTGAATGTTCTCCATTTTCATGCTAGCACTTAGTACTGCTAGATGCTATTGTAAGTTTTTAAAAATGTTCCATTATTTAGGAAACCATCTAGTAGTATATGTGTACCTGTTTGTAAATTAGATTTTCATATCTCTGTCAGTATGTCCTAATGTAGCAATATAAAAACATGTAAGTGTTGCTTTTTATGCTTTTAAGCCAGCTGCATGTCACTCTTTTTGGCATTGCTATTTTTATGAAATAATTACTGGTCTGTGAATTTTTCTTGTAGAATTTTTGTCATTATTGAAAGGTCATGCAAGAGTTTGTGAAGTGCTCTTAATTTTGCGAACTCACAATTTGTATATAGCTGAACAATGGCTAGGTTTTACTTTAACAGTTAATATCCATTGTTTAGGCTCCTAGATCAACTAAGGTACTTCTGAGCAAGAAAACAGAAATTTCATTATTTTAATAATCTAACATCTTAAAGGAATTTTGTATTTCAAAGGCACAATAAAAAGGAATATATCTATTTTAATATTGAATTATTGTCTGTGGTTTTTTTTTCAGCTTATATTTATACTTTTCTCACAGATTCACAACTATTGCTTTAATTTTTTAATTATTATTTCAACATACTACATTTTTCTGTTACTTGATCTTGACAGATATTTCTGTAATGAAAAAAAAAGCCTTTAATTCAGCAGTGAAATACAGAAACTCCTCTGAATACTGGAAAGTACCGTGTCTTTTTTATCACACACACACACACACACACACACACACACACACTCCGCCAGGAAACATAAGCCAATTCTCATCAGATGAGGTAAAATAAGTGGCACTTCTGACATTCTTAGGACATTATTCAAAATTAATATAAAGATCTGCAGTCCACTAGTGATTCCTAAGTACAACTCCTAGGCTTTTACTTTTGCAAACCACCACACAGTACAAGATGTACAACCTAAAGTAAAATATTCTGTCTTCACACATCATTCATTTTAAAAGGGGATATGAATGAAATTGTTACGATACACAGCACTGCACCAGCAAAGCACAACTTGGCTTTTCCAGGTATCACTGTAGCTGCTGAGTTCTACAGGTATTTAATAGGAGGGTTGTACCCTAAAGACATCAGTGTTTCTCCATTCCTTCATGCAGAAATGCTTGTCAGGTATGTCTGTGAGGGTTATTGAAGATGCTTCCTAGAGAAGACAGACCTGCTGCATTTTCTGGGTTTGGTAAATGTATGTGTTGCTGTGCAGTTGTTCTAACTCCAGACTACATTAGAAGTTACTGAAATTTATAAATTAAAAAGTGGCATTGTTTGAGATTTCTTGAAGGGCACATTTTGAGTGAGCTTTCCATAATGGTCTGGAAGACAGCTTGAAAGGAAGGAGTTAGTGAGACCCCCTAACACGGTATTTTATCTAGTATTTGGTTTGATACTAGGTGCTGTCTTGATGTTACTTGTATAGAACTGTATTTTAAAACTGTTCAAGGTATCAAATTCTGCATATGCTTAACTCATGTGAATAGAGCTATTCTAACTACCAGACCATAGAAAGTGAAGTATTTTCCTGTCTACTACCTAAACCAGCCGATATACCCTGTCTAGTCATGTCCCTATACCTACTACATAATAGAAAAATTATCTCATTACAAAAACACCCCTCAAAGTATGTTTATGAAAGTATCATGATCCTTAAGTAATTGTCTATGTTTATAATTAGTAATAAATATGAAGAAATATATAAAAGCATATCAAAAAAAGGTAGACAGTGTTCCATTTTAAAGTGAAAGCAAGGAAGCTCTGGTGGGATGTTGGTCCTCATATAAAATAGTTCTGTGTTTATTCTGTGCATCAGGCTTTCCTGGGATCTCATGTACTGAGGTTGTATGAGTACATCATTCGTAATAGTAGAAATGTGCTCATCTCCAAAACTATTCACACCAAAATAAATAATCAAAACTAGCCTAAGCTTCAGCTGTTCTTGCTAGAACCCTTGTAGAATTCTTTCTGTCTTCAAAGATTTGTTAAACCCATTTTGACACAAATGCGTTGCTTCCTTTTTCTTTTCCCCAAAACCAGCAGCTATGAGTACAGAAAAGTTGAATAGAAGTCTTAAGTTCTGGCTACAGGGAGAGTAAAAGTCAGTAAGCAAACACCCTGTGATGACTTTTGACAGCGACTTCTTCCCCATCAGCTCATCTTTGCAACTACCTCTTTCTTCCAAACAGTTTAGTCGCTCGCTATTCTCCTACAGGCGGCAAGCCTTTCCCTGTCTAATTTCCATCGTGTGAGCCCGTGAATCGCCTCTCTTCACAACGTATCTTTCAGTTGCCTTTAAAAAATGAATTCTTTACAGCAGCCTCTTGCAAAACCGGCTTCGCAGGTGGCTGCAGCTGGGAGAAGTGCCGCCTCGCTAAAGCTTTGAACCTGAAAAGCGGATGGGCATTAGTTGAGCTGGTGGTGGAAGCACCGGGGGATGCTGCCGCTCCGGGATGCCCCCGGCCCGCGGCGGCGGCAGGGACCCGCACCCATCCCCGCCCGCTGCCCGCATCCCCGCCCGCTGCCCGCCGGGCTCCCGCCGCTGGCTTGTGCTCCCTGCGCTCCCACCTCCCGCGGCCCGCGACAAAAACCAGGGGAGAGGGGGGTGAGGAAAGATTCCTGCATGCCCCTTCCTAAAAGCGTCACGAGCTTCCAGGGATGCTGCAGTGGGACAAGGGGACGGGACCCCCGAGGAGGTTCCTAGGGAAGCGGTCTGGGTGTTCGGTGAGTTGGAGGGCTTCGGCTGGTGGAGAGGAGGTTACTCTGGAAAGGCGATTGTTTTTCACTAATCCTCAATTATGAAGATTTAAAAATAGTATTAAAGGGGCAATCTGTTCGGCAACTTCTCCGAAGAAATAATTGTTGATTTAGATAAGCACTGATCCCTTCAGTGCTTGATGAAGACGTTAATTTATGGCTGTCTAGCAGTTTATGGCTGTCATTAGATTTTCAGCTTTGTCTCTCTTCGAAATGTATCTTTATTTTTTTATTTTAATCCGACACAATTACGTAAGGAAACGGTTATATTTGTTCTAAAATACATCATTTTCCTATAGCACTTCAAATTATTCACAGATCATAGTTCTTATACGTGCATATATGAATTTAAAAATACAGCAGTAAAGTGCTTGAAACAGACCATAAATTTGCTTCCTATTTTATTACACGTCTCTGAATCAGGTTGAGAGGACAAGGGCAACTAGGGGCTCGGGGAAGGATTTAACCCTTCCCGTGGCTGGAGAACGAGACGAATCAGACCAAATTCCCCTCCGGAGCGCTTCGGGGCGGGTGTGGGCGGGCTGGGTGACAGCGAGCTGATGAGTGACCAGGGGTAAACGGGGCTGGCTGCAGCTCTGTGCTCATTTAGCACATGTCCCCTCTGCTACGCGGAGGGCTGCTAGGAGCCCCCGGCTGGGGCAGGGGGCCGGGGCAGCCGTGCCGGCTCCCGCTCCCGGCAGCGGCTCCCGCCTTTGCCCCTGCTCCGGCGGGATGGCAGCGCAGGAGCGGGCAAAATCGGCTTAACCCCTGCGGCGCCTGCCTAAACCATGCGCAACGCTTCAGGGAGAGCCTGCCCTGCGCCCTCCATGGGCTCCGCTGGAGCCGGAGCTTTCCCAGGCGGGGGCCGGGCCCCGACGGGCAGCAGCGACCCCACGGAGCGGGCGGGTGGCGGGGGCCGGGGCCGGCGCCACTTCCCCAAACTTTTGTCCTACTCCGGCAAGGAGCTCTTGCGCTGTTTGCTTAGAGCCTCAGGATCCGTCCGGCCTGCGGGCAGGGGCGGTGCGATCACAGTTATCACAGTTACAAATGATCCAGGGGACAGTCGCGGAGTCCCGGCTCGTTTGTTTTACCCCCCACCCCATCCCTAACAGCCTCCCTCCACCACCACTACCACCACCACCACCATTACCACCAAAAAAAAAAAAAAAAGAAAAGAAAAAAAAGTGTTAATTGCTGTAAAGTTTCGGAGCACGTGGATAATTTACTTTACTGCTGAGTTTTAATTAAAAGCAAACTTATTTATGATTCTGATGTTTATATTACGCGATTTAATTACGTTTAGAGGCAGCGTCGCACTTTTTTCCCCCTTCCACCCTAAATCACATTTTCATTAAAGGTTTTAATAAGAAAACTCACTTGACCACTATTCATTATCTAGTCCCCTCCATGCACACAAGTTCACTTACCCATTCATTTATTCACTTACTCATTCCAGCAGATCCGCTGCAACTGCTGCTAGCAGGGATGTGAACACTCATAATTATTTGTCAAAGTCTGGAAAGTGTATTATCCCTTCTTCTAGTGGTAATTAGTTACCATAGCATCTAATACGTAAATGTGCCCAGAGCACACCATTAACAGTTAAGCGGAGGATTCAATTTAACACATGATTATATCTTTCATAAGTCATTACATTAGGAAAGCCAATGTCACTCATGCTGGGACAATCTAGGCTCCGAGCCGGGGTAAGGGGCCGGGGAAGGGAACCAGGCTGGGCAGCGGGGGCAGAGGGAGCTCCGGATGAGGCTGAGGGAGATCCCGGTTCGGTGGGGCGGTTGAAAACGGGGAAGAAGCTCTTTTGAAAGGGTTCATGTTCATTTCTGGCTAAGTGATCTCTCAAGCTTTAAGGCGGGCGGGGGAGCCTCTCTCCTCCCCCCAGCCCGGCACACATTACGCTTGCATTGGCAAGACCTGCTCAGGGACCGGCCCAGTGGCTTCGCGCCGCTTCCCAGGGAGGATGCCCGGCGCAGCGCGACTGGAGAGTGGGGCCAGGACTGGTACCACCTCTACCTGGCACGGACCCGTCGCTCCCTCCGAAGCAATCGAAGAGGAAGCAAGACAGCCCAAAGTCGGGCGGCAGCGGTAGCCAGGAATGACAAAGATTTTCATTCCTCTGTCCCGTCGCTCTGAGGCAGAGGCAGGCGAGAGAGCGGTGAACGGAGAAACCACTCCATGTGCCGCAGACCTCGCTCCCCAGAACCGGCGGGGAGCACGCCAGGCCCGGCCCGCACACTTCGGACCCTGCCCCCGGCCACGGGAGTCGGGAGGCAGGGCGTGGGCCTCCCACAGCCCCTTGCCTACTCCCCACCTTAGGTCCGGCCGCTCCAGGAGTTTGCTGGGACCTGGCTTATTTTCCCCCACCCCACGGCCGGGCAAAGCCGAACAGCGCCCGCGCCTTCCAAGGGAACCCTCTCCGGGAAGGAAACCCGCCCGGTAGCCAGAGACATTAAGCGGTAAATATTGCAGCAAATGTGTCCTGCGATGTTATATGCACGAACACACACTCACACAGACGCACACACAAGCACGCACCACGCCAAGCTGGTGGCAGTGGTTAATTCCTAATCAGAATGATGGACAGCAGAGACAGAACAATACAAACTAATGGCTGTGTTGCTGATCACTTTACCCCTTGATTAAAGACACCCAATTATGGCGCAGAACAGTGTCGTAATTATGTTCCTTAATCACATCCAGGAGGTTTAATTGCCTTAACGATGTGTTTCATTAAATGAATTTAGGTATTATAGTCGACAGTTTTCATACACAGTTGTTTTCAAATTAACATAATATTAGACATCGTCATGGAAATTGTTTTAATAATCATAATTAGACGCACCCAGCCTTTGTCTAGTAAATGCTGAGAGACGCTTCTCCTTGCGCCTGGGGGCTGATCTGCCCACCCTCTCTGGGCTGCCTTCCCACAGCTCCGTGGCACTTTACAGTTATGTTTCCTGAAAAGTTACAGGTTCTGATTAATCTTTTTTGATGGGAAGTGGAGCAGAAAATATTTATACCCTTCCCCCGCCTGTGGTGCTGCCGTTGGGAGAGGCGGCTCCGCGGACACCCGGCGCCGGCCCGGGCCGCCCGAGGGGAGGGGGGAGCCGCAAGACAGGGACCCCCGTCCCGGGCTTAGCGCCGAGCAGACAGCCTGGGGGGCTGCCTGCTTCCCTTGCCCTCAGGTTTGGGGCAGGGCGGAGGGTCCACGAGGGGAGGGGCGGCTCCAAAACTCGGCGGATTGGGAGGAGGCGGGGGGGGCGGTCCTGCAGCGTACCCCGCGGCGCATCCAGCCCCACGGCTCGGGGCGGGCGTGGAGCCGCGGGACGGGCGGGCAGGGCAGGGCAGGGTTGGGCAGGGCAGGGCAGGGCAGGGCTGGGCAGGGCAGGGCTGGGCAGGGCCCGGCCCGGCACTGCCCCACGGCTGCCGCGCAGCGCCGGGGCCCGCCTGCCACGGGAGCGGGAGAAATGAAGCCAGGGAGGAACTTCTCGGCTCCCTGCCTGGGACACCCGGAGCCGGGAGTGGGGTGACGGGGAGGGTACTGGGGCGCACTCGGGCAAAGGAAAGAAAACTACCCACCCCCACCATCCACCTCCTTTAATCTGGATAGAAATGCTTAACAAAGCACAGCGTAATACAAGCGTTTGTTCAAAATATTTTAATAAAGATTCTTTCCGACATAGATACACATACAAACGATCGTACATTGCTGTCATAATCTGATTGACCTATTTAATATATATCACTCTTTACACATCCGTGACCTGCCAACAGATCCATCATGGCTCCTATTTTGCCATCCAACCTGACAGTCCGAATTTGTATTATCTGCAAGTAGTGGAAAAAAGCAGGACTCCTTTTGAAAAGGAAAAAAAATAAATAAAATTTTAAAAAAAAATCCTTGATTTACAAATGGCAGAGAGACAGCCACCCAGCCATGCAAACTCAAACTGAAGGCTCACTTTGGGTAAATAGCTACTTCTTGCTTTTCATCTCTCAATTTTCTTAAAAAAAAAAAAAAAAAATCAAAAACCCGCCCCCCCCCACATCCCCTGAAAAAGGAAGAGAAGAATTCCACGCGTTCTGTAAATTAGCCTAAAGTATTTAAAGGATTTCAACTTAAATAATTATCCACAGTCAGAATAATTTACATACACATTTAAAGCGGTTTAAATTATACCTTCGAAAACACAGCGCCTGGGAAAACATTGGCTTGGCAAATGTTCTTGTAGCAGCTATTGCTCAGATGCCTTGTAAAAGTAAATAGTTATTACCTGTTATAATGCAAAGAATACCCTTTCAAAAATCAGTTGGTTGAGCAATTAAGAATACACTTTTCCTGTAATTTTTGGACTGAAGCAATTTATTAAAGCTCAATTTAAATACAGGGATGATGCAACTTAAAATCCAGATGACCTTTCATAAACCTAAGCAGCTCGGATACATCAACGTTTCTGCTTATATGTTGTTGGCAAATAAATGTTTTAAACACTTGGCACACAGTTTAAGTTAATCCATAAACAGAATTTTAGAAGCATTTAAAGTAACTGCACATAAGACCCATGACCTTAACACATGATAAATATTGTTGGCGTGGAAGGGTCATTTTAAAGAATAAGAAATAAATAGCATGTCTTGATTATACATCATTGCAAAGTGGAAAGAAACAAGGTGCACATAAATATTTCTTTTAAAAATGCGATACTTTCAGCGACACGGAGTAAGGGTTTTGATCGGTTATTTTTTGTCTTTTTGTTAACTCTCTCGATTTTTTAAATCACTCTCACCAAACTTTGCGCATTTTCACAGGATCAAAGTTTAGAGACGATAAAAAATACAAAGTCTTCCATACCAATGGTCCAGTCTCTTTGTTTCTGCGAGTCACTTAAATAATAAGTTTACATTTCAAGTTTGTTTGTTTCCTGGCTCATAATAATAATAATAATAATAATAATACTGCTAATAATTAATTAAAAAAAAAAATCTATGTTCAAGTGCCCTCTCTGATTTGTCCCCGGCGATAGCCCCGGCTCCCAGCCCGGCCTGCTATTTCCCGGCCTCTCCTTTGTCCGGACGCGCAGCGAGTCCCCCCGGCGCCCCCGGGCCGGGCCTTCCTTCCTCCCCGCGGCACCCCCGGCCCCGCGCCCCCTCCCGCGGCCGCACGCACGCTGGCTCCCGGCGCGGTCCGGTCTCGGCGGCACCCGAGGAGAAGAGCGAGGCGAGGCGAGTCCGGGCAGAGGGTGGCGGGGCCGGGCAGCCGTCAGTCCCTCCGCCGCCTCCGCGCCCCCCGGCCCGGGACCGCACCGCCGGCTGTCGCCGCTCCCCGGGGCCGCGGCGGCGGCGGGGGGCGGCCACGGCGGCGGCGCTTAAGGCTTCTCCGTGCACTGTTTGCAGAGGCTGGAGGAGACGCTGTTGAAGATGGCACATTTTTCCGGGCAGGAGGTGGCGGGGGGCAGCCCGGCGCTGAAGGGGTAACCGGCCGCCTGCTCGTAGGCGCCGAGGGCGGGGTGCAGCGCCGCCGCCGCTGCCGCCGCCGCCGCCGCGGAGCTGGGCAGGGAAGCGGCCGAGATGGCCTGGCCCTGGTTGAGATAAGCCACCAAGCGCCGCATCTCCTCCAGGGCCTGCGCCTGCATCAGGATGTAGTTCTTGGCCAGGAGGAGCGTGGCGATCTTGGAGAGCTTCCGCACCGAGGGACTGTGCGCGTAGGGGATGACCGCCCGCAGCTCGTCCAGCGCGTCGTTCAGGTCGTGCATCCGCCGCCGCTCCCGCGCGTTGATGTTGAGCCGCAGCGCCTTCTGCTCCTTGGACTTCTTGCTGCCGCCGTGCCCGTGGCTGTTGGAGCAGCTGCCCTCGGCCGCCTTCAGCCCCCCGCCCCCCCCTCCGCCGCCGCCCGCCGCCGGCGAGGCGACGCGCGGGTCCCCCCCGGCGCCGCGCAGCACCAGCTCGCAGCGGCCGTCGCTGTCGTCGTCGGGGCTCTGCTCGCCGCCGCTGCTCTCGGCCACCGAGCTGCGGCTGGCGCTCTCGCCGTACTTGACGCAGACGGAGCCCGGCGGCAGAGCCAGCGGGTCGCCGCCGACTCCGGGCTGCAGCAGCGCCTCGGGCTCCGACGCCTCGTAGCAGGCGAGCGGCGAGGGCTGGCGGTCGCGGGGGTGGGAAAGGTCGAGCCCCGGGGGCGAGCGGAAGGCGGACTCCATGCGCTTGGCCGAGGCGGCGAGGCTCTTGTGGAAGAGGTCCTCTTCTGCGGGCAGCCCCAGCGCCCGCTCCATCGGCGCCCCGCTCGCCTCCGCCTCCTCCGCCCCCCTCAGTTCCCGGCCCGCTGCTCCAAGGCTCCGCGCCGCGGCGGGCGGCTCCCCGGCGTCCCGCTGGCAGAAATCGTTTCCCGGCTCCCGCCGGAGCTGCGCCGTGCCCGGCGCCGCGGCTGCCCCTTCCCTGGCTCCGGCGGCGGCTCGGACTGCGGCTCCGGCGGCTCCGGCGACTCCGGCTGTGGCTCCGGCTCGGGCGGCGGCTCCGGCTCGGGCGGCGGCTCCGGCAGCGGCTGTGGCTCAGGCTGTGGCTGTGGCTCCGGCTGCGGCTCCGGCTCGCCCTCAGCAGGCGCCGCGCTGGGGCATTGTGCGCTGCCAGTGGAGCCGCTTCCACCGTTTATCTTGCTTGGATTCACCTTCAAGAGATTTCCGGACCCATCAACCAGCAGCCGCCGCAGACGGGGGAGTCTTTTACATCATTATCTCTGAGAGTAGGTTATTATGAAGAAGACTCGCCTGTTGGGACAGAGCTTTCTACCCAATCAGGTTAACGTTTTAATTAATAGGATTAAAACGGTAACAAACAATCCCAGGCGCTATCTGGCCCTGAGTCTGAATAGTTTCTTTTCCCAGGTCTGAAGACAGGCAGC